TCTTTTTCATCAGTAACAGTAGGTTGGGCAGGTAGAGGTTGGTGCTGTTCGTATGTAGTAGGAACATGAATCTTCTTTTTGTTCCATCTGATGGTATAGGCCTTATTTTTCCAATTGTAGCTAGCTTCAACTTTTTGTAACCAGTCATTCCCTAAGAGCAGAGAGTAGGAAGTAGTGGTCATTACTTCTACATCTAGAGGAATGGTAATTCTTTCGATTTCAACAGGAAGGTTTTTGATGACTCCTAAAGGTCTAGTAGAAGGTCCTGTTGCTGATACAATCAAGCTAGTGGAGGGAGCTGTCATGGTACAAGGATCGGTTGGGTTTTAAGCAAGATACAACGAAATATTTATTGACCAAACTAGAGAGCTAAATATACTTTTCCTTTTCTTTTATATTGTATTTTTCCCTCTTTACTAATTACTAATTACTATCGTATGATTGCTTAGACATTATGACACTATTACTACATTTTTAATGCACAGCTTTATTGACTACTACTAATTACTAATTTAATGACTACATTATTTATGCGCATAAGGTCTTGGGTTCGTGTCAGATCTGAGCTTTGGGCTTAAGTCACGGACTTGGGTCATGGGTTTGAGTCGGGTTCGGGTCACGGGCTTGAGTCGGGCTTGGGTCATGGGCTTGAGTCGGGCTTGGGTCACGGGTTTGAGTCGGGCTTGGGTCACGGGCTTGATGGCTTGGCCGTGTAACTGTAACAGGAGCTTCAATCTTTAGACCAAGTTCCTTGACAACTTGATGTGAGATCATACTAATTGCAGCGCCACTATCAATGACAGCATGATAGGGTCTGTTTCTAAGTTTAATATTGCATTTAATAGGAGTAGTATAAGTTGGTGTCTGTATCTAGTTAGGGGTGCTAAATTCTTCATTAAGATAACTAGCTAAGGCTGTTCTAATAGATTCATTGACTAAGAAAGTTTCAAATTGTTTATAGGTATAGTTATTGGCAGTATCTGCAGTGTATACATTTCGAGGATATGGAGTAGAGGATCTACTTCGAGACCTATTATTTCGGTTATAGGAAGAGCGATTGTTAGAGCGATATCTATCACGAGAGTGGCTTCTACTTCTGGATTTATTGCGTCGGTCATAGTCTCGATTTCTGGATCTGTCCTGATTGCGAGATCTAGATCTATTATAGGATCGATTATTTTGAGATGAGTATCTGTAGTCTTGGCTAGAGAATCGATAATTTTGAGAGTTCCTTCAGCTATCCTCTCTTTTGATCCTGCAATCTCTAATAAAATGTCCTCTGTTATCACAGTAGTAACAAGTGGCATCTCGGGAGTTGTTATTGTTGTTGTTGTCACATCGGTGGGAGTTATTATTATTGTTGTTATTAGTTTCGGAGTAATAGACAGGAGTAGTAGGTTGTTGGGCAGCTAAGTTGATATTAAGCTTAGCAAGTTGTTCGGTAAGTCGTT